TATGTCTCCCTAAATAGTACTCTTAAAACTCACAACTTTAGCTACCATTTTATCTATAAGCTCAAATGTAGCTCCTTCCTTGGTTTACTTTTTTCTTTTTTTATACATGAAAAATAGTAGTTAGAAGAAGTTCATGTCTTTCAAACCTTTACACTACCAGGTGATTCCACATGAAACTTTTACCATCTTTAAAGATATAAAACAAGACTCTCAGTTTTTAACCCCTTATCATCCATGGAGGATTTTTTTCTATTACTGTACTTAACGTAAATGTTACAGATGGAGATGATTTCTAGCAAGCGTAAATATACGAGTGAAGATGATGAAGGGTTAAAAGATCTTAACAATTTCGTAGTAGAACATCTTCAATGTCGGATTTCATTTTCATACATTCAGTTCATGATAACAATAGTATATTCATGTGTAACATTTACCATTAAAAAACTTTCCAGATTTTGATTTTAAAATTGCAAGCTTCATCTCCATATTAAGCAAGCAAAAATGTAATTAAAATGCTGCATATAAACATTAAAAGTACTTACAAGTTTTTAAATAAAAAAGTTGACAATATCAGGAAGGTTTTGGGAAAAATGGTGTCCCCATTGGAATTATAAGTTATCATCTAAACAAATACTGAATTAAACAACAAATATTTTTTATACTAACTGTATGTGCAGCATTAACTTTCATTGGAAAACATGCTCTAATGTAAAACAAATATTATTTACACTATTTTATGAGGGGGGACAAATTATCACCATTGAAAACTGCAAATTTAGTATATCAACCTGTGTATCTTTATCGCATACAAGGCTAAATTGGTTCAAACAAAGAGATAGCTACAGACCTATATAGAGGAATATGCAAATACCAAAGTAAACTGAATCAAACCAAACTGAATTGGATTAAGTATACCAGAAAATGCATAACAGGTGTGTGATTTATCTGTTTATCCAAATAATTTTTAAGATTTTCACTAATGCCAGTGATGAATGCAGTTTCTGAATAAAGTAAATCAGATTGAGGCCACAAATCAACCATGTGAGATCAGAAGTTGTCTTATGAACATACAAGCTTCCTTATTAAAGTATATTGATCTATAACTTCAGCAGAGACCAAAAGTTACAGTTTCCTGTAAGTTTATGAATGTTATTATCAATTATGAAAATAAGATGATTGAACATCATTTTTAATAACTGACTTGTTGGCATTTGTTAATTTTAATATGTAACAAAACCATATACAATATGGTATTTTTTTTTTACTTACACTTTCGGTTGCTTGTTTGTGATTGAATTTTTGCACAAAATTACCCAAGAGCTACCTAAACTAGCCATCCATAATTTCAAAGGGATAGACTAGGAGAAATACAGCTAGTCAACACCACCAACTCGTGGGCTACTCTTTACCAACAAACAGTGGGATTCATCGTAGCATTATAACACACATACACATCCAGCTGAAAGGTCAGGCATGTTCGGTGAAAGTTTCGATCCAGTGACCTGTAGATTGAGATTTGAGCACCCTAACCACCAGATCATGTCAGATCCTATCAGTTGCACTCACACCAATAAATATTTTAAGTTGTATTAGTATTTTAAAGGTGGCTCAACCTAGTTTGTTTACATCTAGGTCTAAAATGTTTGATTATTTCTGAATTTTCAAACATTACAAAATGTCATCTTCATACATAAAACATGTATGAAACAAATATTTCAATCTAAATAAAATACTGAATATTAAATATGTCTATTCTGTTGATAGTACTGTCATTATAGTGGTGATTATTTTATGACCACGGGGACAGGTGCAAAGATCAATAGAGGGATCTTCAATCTTGTCTTTCAGCAATTGACTCAGTTCAGACTTTAGTTCACAAATTAGCCCAGCCACCTGTCAGAGATTAAAGACAATTGTTAATTCATATTTTAAATTCTTAAATATTACAAAAATAATAACTAATAATAAAAGGTGGAGACCCAACATTATATTAAGTACAAAACTGAATATTTTATCACACATTCAATTGGAGAAATCTGAGAAATTTTAATGTTTAGTTTAGAGCTTTGTTTGTTTGTTTTGGATATTTATGCAAAGCTACACATGAACTATCTGTGCTAGCCATTCCTTATTTAAAACTGATATATTACAGGGAAGTCCTAGTCAGCAGTATCATACCCACTGCCAACTTTTGATGTTGTATAATTATGTAGTGGAATTTGATTGCACTCTTTTACACACTCATAGCAACAGAATACAAACCACAGACCCTGGAAGCTACAATCTGGTACACGAACTGGTAGGCCATGCCAGGTAAAAACAAAACACACACACACACACACATTAGAAAATGTAGTTAACTTAGGAAGAAAGAAACTGAAATAACCCACATTTGAAATTGTAGCAGAATAATTGATTACATCATGTATGTGTATAAACTTTTTTGTCAAAATTTCACTTGAGAGAAAGGTTATCTCCACTATTTCCTTTAATCTTTACTTACAAGAAATTACTGTTTAAAACTAATAAGAGTCAGTCACTGTCTAATTACCATGAACTGGTAATTTGTTCTAACTCAAAAAAAAAATCAAAAATGGTAATTACAAAACTAATTATGCGTTTTAATAAACTGAAATTCAGGCAAAAATTTTTGCTTTTCAGTGCCAACTGTATTTTTTCAAGCATACTTAAAAGATTTAAATGTTGAAAACTTGTTATGCAGAACTTTGAGAAAGAAAAATAAATATTCAGAAATTAACTTTCAAAAAAAACTTTTTTTTACACAAGTTATCATTCTCAGAAAAAGAAAAACATGTCTAACAGTGTCATGAGTGAATCAGTAACTAAGTTTTCTGTTGAAACACAGGTTTTGTATTGTTGGAGAGTGATAGTCACTTTAACCCTTAGTGACCATTCAGCTGTCAATCATTTTAATGCAATTTTTTGTCATTGTCAGTGTGCAGTCGAGGGAGTGCGACACTGTCCTAATTCCAAACCACCAGCCAGGAAAGCAATGGGTTGACATTAACCATTTTTACTTTATTAATTACTGTGTATCATTTATTTTTAATAAGATGATTTTGATACAAGTACTATTATGCTCTGGAGGATTTTGGCATGGGCTCTCCTCCCTCAAATAATCTCCTCAAAGTTCTTCAAGTAGTGATTCCCAATTCAACTTCATTGAAATGGTTCCTGTCCTTTCTACATACTTTAATGCTCACTCCACTTGTATACTTCCACTTTTTTTCGCCAATCTTCAAATGGACCCAGCATGTCCTTTGTTTCATCTTTTCCTATTCACTCAGCCAACATGTTATTTCATTGATAACATCATTCTGAGATCTTGCCAGTTTGCCCAAGTGTTATGCCTTACCAGCATTTTCACTGAATGATAAGCCATTGTGGCATGGAATAGAGGTCATTATCAGATGATTCTACAAGTCTTTCAAAGTTTTCGCTCACGTTTTTTTTAGAAAAAACTGTCTCTTTTTGTGATGAGGTTTAAGACATATATGAGGAGTAGGATCCTATCATTATCTTCACTGATACAGGTCAACCAAACAAATATACCCTTTTATGCCTCATATTCTGCTCTAAATGAACTGTATTGCCCAGTTTTGGCCATTGATCATTCAATTGCTAGATGTCCATCTCTCCATATGGTTTCTGCTCATCCAGTCATTTTTATTGACTGAGCTATTCTTACTATGATCAGTGACAATCTATGCTCATATACCCATTCCATGACCAGTTCTGACCTTTCCCTTTAGATCTTGGTCCCAATCTATATTGTGTTTTATCTGCCTGGACCCACTCAATACATCTTCCTTGACGTCCTGACTTTGATTGATTTCAGTCTTTATTCTTGCTTAATCTGCTCTTTTCATCAAGTGCTGATATAATGGATGAGGTATATGTTGGGATTATTCAGAATAGCACTTGTTTTGTAGCAATACCATTCAAATGAAGCCAAAAGTGGATGGTTTCACAGGGTGTCGGCCTGTCTGCTCCTGTTGCTATTCTCATAGCTGCATTCTGCACCCTCTGTATCTTTGTCATTGCTACTGATACACACAAATGGATTCCATACTCCATTCTGGTTATGACTGTTGCTCTCATCAGATCAATGAGGCTCATTTGTGCACTTTTTGGGCTACAGCTTATTTTGAAAACCTGAAGTGACACCAAAAGGTTTTCTGGTTCATTAATGTGCTTTCCGGCTTACAAAGCACACAAAAAAATGCATTTTTGGTTACAAATCAATACTGACTATCCATAATCAGTTGTCAGGGAAAACTTGTAGTCAAATAATTAAAGGTACTTTACTGTAACATATCTTACAAACACACTATTTTATTAATCAGCCTAGACTCAACATAAATTAATAAACTACAAATGAAATATGACACCTTTACTACTACTTTACATTTCATGGTTAGTAAGTATGTACCCTACCAATGCAGTCTTGTTCCACTAAATATGGGCATGTTGATAAACAATGGCACATCAACAACAGATATTTGTTTTTAAGTAAATTATATTAGCAGGTACAGCATCTACTATCACAAAAAAAAAAGTTATGTTAAAATTACACTTAGTTTCTCAAGTTGTATAACTATATGATTCAATTTCACACTTTGAGTTTATTATTAGTATATTATACTATTCAATTTCAACCACACTAAACTTGTAATCAAACCTGTAACAAATATATTTCATTTTATATGAAGGATATTTTTTTCTTAACATCAGACAATTCAGTTCATACAAAACAGATCAACAGGACTTGAACTTGATTTCATCACTATCTTTCTAAGTTGACACAAATTTTAGGAGGCTAAGGGCAAGTAGAAGAACTGTGTTAAAAGTATGAACATCTTCCATAAATGCAACAGTGTTTAACAATAGTTATTTTTGCATGGAACTTTGTTCTTTACATATTAAAATGTAAATACTATCTTGTAAAGGGTAACAGCCCAAATTTTGGCTCAATTTGTGTTGTTTATAATAGATCTTGCTTACAGCCAACTTGTTTTTGAATGACATTAAACTAGAAACATAAGAAAATAAATAGGTACATGAAGGATTCTTGCTTATGAGTGGACTTATATCTGGCATGCTTACAAGTGGAGTCATCTGTACTACTACTAAGGTTTTATTAATTTGGAAGGAGGTCTATATAGGGTCAGATTTAGCCGAGGTGCTGTTGTTTAAAGAATGATGGGAAGTCACATGAAATAATAATGAAAAACTGTACACCAAACTAAAATTCTTCCCACAGGATTACCAAAATGCACCTTTTGTTCTTATATATATATGTATATGTGAAGCTAGTTCAAGATACAAATTTCTTGATATATACTTAACTAAACAATACTAACTGTGGTAAGTTGAGACACTAACATATTTAGGGGTTCAATTAAAAAATATAACAATATACAGAAGACTTACATGTGGGGATGTAACTTTTACATGTACCCAGCCATCATCAAGAGAAAGAGTTAAATCTCCTTTGTACATTTCTACAGATAACTGTCCTCCACCAAGAAGAAACAAGGCTTGAACTGGAACCATACTACATTCTCTAATATAAACCTATGATAAGAGTAAAACATAATAAATTATAGCAAATCTGCACATGTATAATGTATTCTCAAAAGAAACTTAAAATTTTAAACAAATGTTAAAAAAATATTTCACATAAATTTAAAAGGTATTTGGGAAAATTACTAATAACAAAAATGATAAGGCCTCTTCCTATTACTGATAAATCACACATTAAAAGGAATAATTATGTCACATCATCGAGTTATTACAATTAAAAAAAAGGCATAGGTTATAATGCATCTGAAATTCTCTTTTCACAATTTTATTTTCCAATATTGCAAATATGCAATAATGGGTTATATGAGGCATAATTTTCAGATGCATACAAAACCACTTATTTTAAAGAAGTGTAAACTGTACATTATTATATCAAACTTCTGAAGATTATGATTTATGCACCTTACTATGGAGTTCTGACAAAATCATGGCATCTGTTTTTATCGAGTCCACAGACACATTTTAAAAAGTTCCAACTAGTGTAGAGATATTATCAAATACAGAAACTTCATACAGCATCTAACTGTTGATGGTAAGTTTACAGAAACATGTTCTCAACAACACCCATTGCATTTGCGTTTACAAGAAGAAAAACTAAGATTTTTGATTACTTTGAAAAAAGGATGATAGTTCACAATTTTTAGAATGATTTTGCAAAGAAATCTAAGAAATACAAGTATTTTATTTTTCATAGAAAATGTTCCATATGCATATAACACCAAAAATGTTTTCTACAAAATACTGTTAGTTTTGTGATACTCAGGAGAGACTACCTGAATTTTCAAGATAGTTTGTGTTCATGCTTCATCAAAACATTCTGCATATTTTTAGCTAAGTGCAGTCTGTAGATAACTTTTTAACTAAAACTGATTAAGCAGTCTTCTTAGACATTTGATGGAAGTGATGAAGGGGTTCTTCATAAAGACATGATATTATAAACTTCAACTATTTTCACAGCAATTTTGGCTTTTCTGAGCAAAATGTTTTTGATGAACAAATAAGGAGATCAAACAATATTTAGTTGTGACATTCTCCTTGGCAGTTAAATTATATTGTACATTATTTCAAGTCAATTGTAGCAAAACTTTTAGAGCAATACACATATAGTTTCTCAAACACAAATTATTCAATAATGTTTAGAGAAAGAAAAAAAAAGATCTTTTATTTAAAATAAACAAGAACCAAAGAAAACATGATCACACCAAGTGAATGTATTTTGATACCAAAGTTAAAATGTTACCATATTAGATAGTAAGGAAAAACAATCTTTTTTATTGTAACAGCATATCTTTCCCTTATGTTAAATGTCTAAATTCTTAGCTCAGAAAACTAGAATACAATGTTGTTGTCAAGACATATAGCTGCATACATAGGTGAATCTTGTCATCCAATACAATAGTTTCAAAGGGCACATTCTTGCCATTGAAAAAGGTGGAAGCCAAAATGTTGTGTAGGATAAAACATAAAAATTATCTGAACTTGTTTGTCATCTTCGTTGAAAATAAAAAGAAAAAAAAACTATGAAAAATATTTTGCAAGCGAAAGAAAGAAGTTTGTTGCAACACTGGACAAAGTGAGGGTTTACTTGAAAGACTGTGGCAAATGAAAAGAAACTGCTACCAATCTGGAGGTGATAAGTACTTTTCAACAGTTTATACAGATTTCTCATCTAATAGGAAATATACACATTACAAAATCCATAATAAAGGTGAATTTTAGATACTATAAGAATAGTCGTAATTAAGATCATCAGACTGAGCATAATCAATGTCGGAGAAAGCATTTTATACATCTACTATATTGATAGGTCTGATTAATATGCTGTGATACATAGTGGTTACAAATAGTTTAGGTATATCACATACATCTACTGTATTGATAGGTCTGATTAATATGCTGCGATACATAGTGGTTACAAACAGTTTAGGTATATCACATACATCTACTATATTGATAGGTGTGATAAATATGCTGCAATACATAGTGGTTACAAACAGTTTAGGTATATCACATACATCTACTATATTGATAGGTGTGGTTAATATGCAGCAATGTAGGTTTTCTTCCAGTTATTTTATTATTTCAGTTGTTTAGTGTTCAATTGACAATATGAATGGTTAATTGTGTTTTAGAAGAATGATGTTTTTAGTCCAGTGCTGTCAGTGTTGATTAATATGCTGTGATACATAGTGGTTACAAACAGTTTAGGTATATCAGACCTATCAATATAGTAGATGTATGTGATATACCAAAACTGTTTAAAGCCACAATATGTATATTAATGGGTTTACTAATGTTTAAAAGTTAACACAATTAATACAAATCCTAAGAAATACATTTGTTAGCTAACCATTAATTAATCAACACTATACAATTTCTATATTTAGCAAAAATCAATTATTAATTCATATATAATAGTTTCATTATTCCAGTTATTATAAAGAGGAATTGATAGATAATAGTTGTACTTTATGAAATCCAAATCAGAGTATGCAAAATATACTTCAGCAATAACTTCTTTCAATCTCTATAACAAGCCTATCTACAAACATTGAACTAAATAAAAAGTTATATATAATATTAGATATAATGCTAAGGAAAAAAGTTTTTCGTATTTTTTCTGTTTGTAAAAAAATTTATAGGCTAGTAGTTAGAACTGTTTATAGTATTACACAACAAAAGCTGTACAAAGAGAGTAAATTCTAAAAATAGTGACGTCTCTTAGCTACAGTAAGGTACATTTATGAATTGAAAAACAAAAGCTGTACAAAGAGAGTAAATTCTAAAAATAGTGATGTCTCTTAGCTACAGTAAGGTACATTTATGAATTGAAAAACAAAATCTGTACAAAGAGAGTAAAT